ATATTTCCAAAAATTTAATTTTTTTTTTTTTTTTTTTTTTTTTTTTTTTTTTTTTTTTTTTTCATAATATTATTTCTGAGTATATTTTATTTTAGTTATTCATAATATTATTTCTGAGTATATTTTATTTTAGTTATTCATAATATTATTTCTGAGTATATTTTATTTTAGTTATTCATAATATTATTTCTGAGTATATTTTATTTTAGTTATTCATAATATTATTTCTCAGTATATTTTATTTTAGTTATTCATAATATTATTTCTGAGTAAATTTTATTTTAGTTATTCATAATATTATTTCTGAGTATTTTTTTTTTTTCTAGTTATTTATAATATTATTTCTGAGTATATTTGAAAGACGACGAGATCCTAAAAGATGGAAATGTTTAAATGGAAGACCGGGATTATTAGTGTAAGTTAGTAGTTGAGTTAGCACTAGATGAATAAAATAGAACAATGAAGTTTGCATTCTAAAGTTCGGTAGGCTGATGCGACTATAAGTTGCAAAGCGACATCAGGTGTCCCAATAACAGATAATAGCTCAGATGATAAACCAACCAAAGTAATTACTGCAACAGTGCTCAAATTTAGCAATGAAAAGAGTTCATTGAACACCTGCATCGGCAAAAGACAAATGAAGTTAATGGTTAAGAACAATGTCCCCATACAAGGTTTCATTATCATTTATTCATTGCAGCCCAGTGAATCTATTGGATGGCGATGAAGATAGAATGGCCTACGCTGCTGCTTTTGGTTCAACAGCTACTAATTGTTTGACTTTGATTCAAGGTCAATTTATACCAGAAGATTGTCCTATCTGGTTTAAAAGTAAGTTGAAAAGAAGGAATGCGGCTGATCACGGTTTATGTTATCTATAAAATCACATTGAAAATCCAAATCACTTTGTCATGAGAGCTTTTCTCCAGAAACCAAAATTGTTACCGATACTTTATCGTGAATAACCCCGGATTATTAAGCTTTATACCGGCAATTAAAAAAACTTTCGGAACAAAAGCTACAAATGCCTCTGGAAATTTGGCGTTGAACTCATTCTGCTCAGAAAACGGGTGGAAATTCTAAAAATATCTTAAAATATAAAATGGCATTACACCCGTTTAGTAACATTTCAACTATGTTGTAGTTCCATACGCCATGCTAGCTGTAATAGAAATGGGTATAGATTATTATCCATTGTTTGCCTGTTTATCTAAGAAAACTAGTCTAATAGATTCTGTAATTGGTCTTGTTTACAGTGTACTTTGGTAAGCATATGTTATTCTTTAATGACCTTCTGTGTGCTTCTGATATTACCAACATGTTCACATTCGCAAAGTTTCATCTTCCCTTTTTGAAGTATGATAGTAAAGAATATTTGAAGAGCAATTATATTGTCGTATTTTACAAGGGCTTCAAGTGACGTTCTAAGAATACTTCCTCCAAACCCAAGCCACTTGCCAATGGTCTTCCGTGCCCAAATGGAGCTAGATCTCGAGGAGATACTGTGGCTCAACTAGATGAGTGGGTGGACTTGGTTCAACCAGTCACTAT